ATAATAAAAAACATATACGATACAACATTATATATTGAAATAAAAATATATTGAAATAAAATTCACACTCAAATATCTTCAATAAAAATATCTCATATAATGATTATCAAAATTTTGTTCTACATACGTGAATTTTCAAAAATTAATTGTACATACAATATAAATTAAAATTTCAAATCAAAATCGTTGTTCTATATCTCCTGATCAAAATATTCCTATCTTTTCTAAAGCCATTGTAAAAATTGTGTTCTTAATAAAGAAAAACTGACGAATAGTAAAACTATCTCTCTGATGATGAGTTGTCCAAATCCTTGTTCCTTGTAGCCTACACTATCTATTCTTAGCAGTCCCCTAGGTAATCAGCAATCTTACAACCAATTATTGCTAGCCTCTCGTCTTTAATGATCTCCTTCAAATGCACGTATCGTTCAAATGATGCTAGCCTCTTCTCCTCTCGATAAACTGAATCTCTCGTTCCGGCCTGAACAGTGACTCTTGGAATATAAGTAGAAAAGTATAACTTACAATATTTTACTGGATCAGCTTCCGTCAGATACACTTACTCCACGAAAACTCACAAACATTCACTTCTACTGCTTATTACCACTGGGGAAACACCAGAGAATAACGACTGTTCGCCTTAAACCCTTGGAAAATAACTAATTATCTTTTCTCCCTCAAAAATCTAGCTAAACTCTCATTCCTACATACCTATCCCACTTCTTTCAATCTCCGCCTATCAAAGTTCGTTACACTTATCCCCATCTACCATTTAGATAACAAACAACAATTTTACCTACAATTAAAAATTTCCTAAAAACTATTAACGTGCTAATCGGTTTCTGCAAATTCTTAAGAACTAACGGACTATTATCTTTTCTAAATATTTCTATTCGATTGTCTTATTCACTGTATCGACGTACAGTTCCCGATTTCACTAAGTTCACTCACTTCAATCGAATATATTTTACAAAGAAAATAATTTATACATATCTTTAAATTTTGTTTACTACAGGTAATCCAGGATAATGGACTTTCATTTCTTCGAAATATCTTTTATAGTTTATTAGTTGAATTATTATATTTTGTACTTTGAAATATATTAAAAGCAAACCAATATTATTTCCAATTTTACATATCATAACAATATATATATATAATATATATATATATAATATATATATATATATATATATATATGTATATAATAAAAAATCCTAACAACTTAATGTATATGAAGATACTGTAACCTCCTAACGGTATTCATGTTAAATCTTGAAAACAACAACTAGTATCATAAGAGGTTTTTCCTTTGTTAAAAATCAACGGTGGGTATCAGACTGTGGCACGAGCCATAGCAAGAATTGCATAAATAAATACACATAATAATATATTATATTACTTGAATGAAGAATCTACAGAGAATTTAAAAAGTCGTGGCATTATTAAGAAGTAACTTGACTTTCAGGTGAAACTCAATGAGTTTGACCTAATGTCATGATTTTAATTAAAACATTAAAACAGTCTTTCATTTTTCGTATTAATTTCATTATTTTTTTTATGTACCTACATGCTTTTTAATTAGTCAATATCATCATAATTCAATATATTATCATCCAATAAACTTTAATTTTTTTCATATTCTCTGTGGTATCTACTTAATTAAATGCATCTTCGTGCTCGTTTATGACTTGTTCGTTATGTTCAGATGACTACATGTAATGATCGTATTTATCCTCTTTGTAAATATATTGGTAACAAAGTTTTAACCAATATTGGTTCATTTAGTTTTACACATACATTATTGTTTGGCTGAAAAAACCGTCTGAGAACAACCATTCAAGTTATTCATGTATTTTTTCTTCTAAATGCTAAACTTATCTAAATATTTCTGAAATCTACTTGTTCCTAGTTTCGCGTCTTTTAGAATGTTTTGTAATTAAAAACTCACAACAAAAATATTTCAATGTGGTGTGCCCCCTTTTTTTCGTTAAATAATTGCTAGGTTTATCTATCATTATTCGCGTTACCTTTATTCCTACACAAAGTCAGCTCTTCTAAATACGTTGCAATATAAGTTTCTATCTTATGTCATAATAATTGCAATCCATTTAACAGGAACGTCTAAATATTTTTCACCAGTTCCTTCAGCTACTTTTTTCAGGAACGTTTAACTTAGCGATTCTTCGTGTTGTCTAATTTATATTAAGTCAACTTTAATAAAATGAAAGGCAGATATGGAGCACAGTTTTATTAATTAAATCTTGCCCAAGTACTTTCGCTTCCTAGAGCATCTTCAGTACACTTCAGATATCTGCCTTTCATTTGATCAAAGTTAATTTATTCGGGTATTCAACCTTATATCAATAATATTAAGTCGTTTAACCTATGGCCTCTCATGTTGATATTGTGATGTTGGGCTTCCACCGCTTAATCCCAACTGGAGTTTAGATCAACATGTTTATTAAAAAAAAAGGCAAATATTACTTATCACTTTAATACAGACTTTTATTGTGTTTACAATTGGGGTAGGTCGCGGCAACGACCTTTTATTAACGACCGTCAAGGAAACGTTCCTGCGAATTAGAAATAAATTGACGATTGTCAGAAATTAAATAGATATATTATCGTCAACAGAAGATATAGAAATTCTATAATATCATCCAAAACTTATCCAGGAGCGGACATATCCTCCGATCACAACCCGGTTGTTTTGTCGATGAAAGTGAAACTAAAGAAGGCCAACAGCCCTAGCACCAAGAAAATAATGGATACAAGACGTCTCAAACAAGACACATATTATGCGGAAACGAAATTTAAAATAAATGAGAACTTAAGGAAAGTCAAAGAAAATAATGCGGAAACTCTAACTATTAACCCAAAATGGGGAAAAATTCAACATGCCCTTGTGTCAGTTGGAAAAGAAACCCTCAAACCACTTGGAGAAAAAACAAAACCTTGGATGACAGTAGAACTTCTTGAACTTATAGAAAAACGAAGAAAACATAAAGTAAAAGACCTGAATAAATACAAAGAAATTCAGGGAAACATCAGAAAGAAAATTCTTTCTGATGTTCTGAAAAGAGAGGCAAAAGAGAGGTGGCTCTCCGACAGGTGCAAGAAAATAGAAGATCTGTATAAAAAGTATGATAGCTTTAATTTATACAAAAAAATCAAAGAAATGACAAATTCTAGAAAATGTACAAGAACACATATCCTTAAAAATAATAAAGGGGATATTATTACTGATATGAAGGAGAGATTATGTCACTGGACCAATTACATCCAACAACTATTTAATGGTGAAAGAGAAGAACTGTCAGAAATCACCGAGGATACCGGGCCACCAATATTAAGAGAAGAAGACATCTATGCCATCAAAAGCACAAAAGAGGGTAAAGCTACTGGACCAGATGATGTACCCATCGAATCATTAAAACTCATCGATGAAGATGTTATTGTTGTAATGGTTGAACTCTTTAATCTATTATATCAGACTGCCACAATCCCCAGACAATGGCTGCCATCGACCTTTGTAGCAATTCCCAAAAAGCCACGTGCAACAACTTGCTCTGATCACAGAACGATAGCTTTAATGAGTTACACACTTAAAACATTTTTGAAAATAATTCACAGCAGAATTGTTAAAACTCTTGAATACGAAATTAGTGACACTATGGTGAAATGGTATGAGTATAAGAGATGCTTTGTTCGGCTTGAATGTGTTGGCTCAGAGATGCATGGACATGAATCAGTACATGTACTTATGTTTTGTGGACCTTGAATAGGCATTTGATAAGGTTCAACATAAAAAGCTTGTAGATATATTAAAAAGCAAAAATATTGACAGTCGTGGTATGAAAATTATATCTAATTTATATTGGAATCAAATTACCGAGGTAAGAGTTGACAGCCAAGCCAGTACACCCAAAATATCAAAATACAGAGAGGAGTTCGCCAGGGTTGCGTGCTGTCCCCACTACTTTTCAATGTCTACAGTGAAGCCGTATTTCAAGAAGCGCTCTCAGACTCAATAGAAGGTGTATCTATCAATGGAGAAGTTTTGAATAACTTACGTTTAGCAGACGATACAGTAATAATGACGGATAATAACAATGATTTACAGAACGTAATGCAACGCCTTAATGAACGCTGTCATGAGTACGGACTGAAGATAAATTTAAAGAAAACTAAATGCATGATCATGACTAAATCTGCACATGTAAATATCCAATTGACTATTGAAGATACTGCAATTGAGAGTGTTAATAACTATAAATACTTAGGAACATGGATAACATCAGATGTAGACCAAACCAAAGGAAGTAAGACACGTATTGAAATAGCACGTGCATCATTTCAAGAATATCCTGGCTTAAGAACTTAAGGTAATGGTTTGAATGCAGTAGTGCAGAACTTTTTAAAGCGGCAGTCAACAGAGTCCCGCATAACCATGATGATTTCCAACCTTTGATAGAAGATGGAACTTAACGAAGAAGAAGCATTCTCATTTATGCAGTGTGCAGTCTTTGGCTATTCATCTAGCATTGTTTCTTTAGCTCCAAAAATCAGTGACGGCTAAAATAGCTAGTTATACAACAGCTTTATATAGCTTAAGAGTATTATAAGTTATTTTTAAATGAGTCTTACTCCATTGTTACAGTCTTAGTGTTATATAATTCCCATTCATTTCCCTTTCCACGAATATAACTTTGAAGTTTCCTTAGAGTTTTTGGCGAAGTTTTTCTAGGTTATTCTCTATTACTTTCTAAATTAATTTTCAATATTTATTTTCTCTTATAATTTTTTACCATTCACCCTAAGTGGACAACATTTTTGTCGTGAGAGGAACTTGCGATTTTTTTTAGTAGTACTTATAATCTAAGTTATTCTAACAGTATTAAAAGGGAACTTTAACTAAAACTTCTCGCGTTTATATTAGTATTAAATCATACAAAATAAGGTATTATGTTATATACTAATAATTTAATATTTTCTAGCCCCTGTTCAATCTGGATTGGATCTCGTATTACTCAGCAATGACGCCTTAGTTATATGTATGGCAAATGGAATTTCACCTATGCCAGAAGTTCACTTTTCTCTTCAAAGCGAGTAAGTATTTAGTTTAGTATATATTATGTATATATATATGTAAAAAAAATCACAGCATCTCTTCTTTCTCCTCCTCAGCTCTTCCCTTTTCAGGGTTTGTTATTCCTTATCGTTCTTCGCCATTCATTTCTGCCCATCGTGTCCAACCTAACCTGACCTAATCTAACCTAAGTTTTTTCTAACTTCTGACAGCTCTACCCAATTGTAAACAGCTGTTATCACAACGTCTAGGAGTCAAAAGAAACTTGGTGGTGGAACGATAAAGTGCAACTAAAGGTTACGAAAAAAAAAAAGAAGAAAGAAAGAGGTATGATAACTCTAAAAGAGAGGAAAATAAGAATACATACAAAGCATTTTTGAATCGTTCTGTACTTTTATTACCAATACATCCTAAATATAGTTATACTGTGACTATACCGTGCTCACAGACCAATCAGTGGGTCCAATCACAAAGGACAGGATCTCATTTTTAAAAAATAATTGGTTTTTTAAATACAAGGCATACTTTTGAGAGATACTTTGGCGTATAAGGTCACCTGCGGCTTGATAATACGGAAAGAGTTGTAACCTCTTAATCTTATTAAGACCAGGAAGTTAAGTAACACCATATTGCTGGAAGAAACGAGGGAGAGATTCTTCGAATATCCCTAAGGATATTCAAGAGAAAAATGCCCACCGTTCCATCCACCAGAATGGTGCTCTGCCCGACTGCTCAGTCCTGGGTTCGTTCCCTTTTCATTCTCTCTCTACACCAATTCCAGAAAGGTACAGGAAATAAAAAACTTAAGTCATAATAAACGTATACTTATTTATTAAATAAAAAATAAACATAATTCAAATTATGCATGTGAAACAAAAATAAATTACACTGAGACTCAAATATTATGCCGGTTGCCGGTTTAAAATAACTAAAGTATAAAAAAGTACTCAGCTTTAGTTCGTTCTGAATGAGTCGTTCAGTTCTTTAGGAAGGGTTCCGATTTTTGTGGAAGTTAGCCTCTGTCGGTGGTTGTTGGTTGAGTTAAGGGGAGTTGCTGGTCTATATAATGGCAATCATTTACGTCCCATGTTGGCAGATCGGTTTCAACTTCTGTTCTTATGCATCAGTGGATTTGTAGGTGGTTGCTGATTGTTGCCCAAGGTATTGTGATTGGTTGTTTTCTTGCTCCCCACGGTAGTGTGGTTGTCTATTTTTTGCTCCTCGCGTTAGTGTGGTTTTCTATTTCTTGCTCCCCACGGTAGTGGCTGTGTATACGGCCACTACCACAATTTGTCTGACTATAAATTTATTAAGAATGATTGTTATCGAGTGGAACGACTACTAAAAATATTTATAATTTAGTGAGGTCGCTTTGGAATAATATAGTATGGAGGACAAGTACCAAGCGGAGCTTAGTGTCACTTTCAATTGGTTGATTGAAACGTTACAGTTTCCACTGAGCTCAATCCTTCCGGTACTTGCGGTACTGTAGGTATCTGGGATGAGTGAATTTTTTACTTAAAGGGATTAAGAGCTGTATGGATTAAATCTGGATGATGATGATAGTAATGGTATAGGTGATGATCACCCATAAAGGTAAAAGCACACTTTTGGCTTAAGATAGATTGTGAAGTTAAGGGTAAATAGAGGTTAATTCAAAAATTTCATCTAAATCGATGCGTCTAAATAGAAATCGGAGTGAAAAATCTTGTTAGCTACATTAAATCAGCTTGAGGTAGGATCCAAATACTATGTCTATTGAACTCTAATGATATATGCTAATTTACCTCCCCATGTTATGTTTACAGACAGCAATTGCTTTTAATTGATATCAGCAATAAGCCACAAAGTCCAATCATTCCTCTCTACTCATTAAGCCTGCTTTCATTGCCATTATTTTATTAAATTCTCTATTTTAGGTTTTCTATATTTAGCTAGAAACTTAAAATTGAAGTTAATTCCATCACAAGTGGAATGTTTGCAGTCCCCAAATTGTATTCCCAGTTTTATTAGCTCAATTATAGGGCAAATTTAGTTCTATAAGAGTTCCAAAAGTTCTATAAATTCTATAATATTTACAAATTCTATACGAATTTATCATTGAAGTATAACTCATCATAATCAATATCCACAAACACATAAAAAAGAAAGGAATAATACCAGCTTTCCGAACAAATAACACCCTAGGCAAATATATCAAAACTGAAATCGTTTCTAGTCCTGAATCGGAACTAAAAAAACACTTCAAAATAGTCATTCTCTAATAAATTTTGAGGGCAGAAAATTAGACTTTACTCAAAACGTACAATCTCCAATGACATTTTGACAAATATATCAAAAACAACAAGAGCCAAAATAAAAAACACTTACACAGTGGTGTGTACAAACTTAAATGTGGCGACTGCGCTAAAAACTTACATCGGTCAAACTGGTAGAAATTTTAACAAACGAATAGCAGAACATAAAAGCGCTTTCAATAATAGAAAAACAGATTCTACATACGCACTTCACCTTCTAGATCACAAACATTCTTTTAACGACCAATTTAAAATTCTTCACATTCAAAATAAAGGCCTTAAACTATCCTTGTTAGTAAAAATTTAATATTTAGTCTGACTTTACGCCATCTATATGACAAATGCTAAAGAGGCCAAACTGAGAAAGAAGGAAACTGTAATGGCACCTGTGAAGTAACGAAGACTACCAACTCTTCTCACAGTGTTGCTGATTTCACAAAATATTTGTATTTTGTAACCAAAACTATGTATTATAAATTTTATCAGAATAGGAAGTGTAAGAATCTAGTATAATAAAATAATAACGTTGCATTTTTGCCCATTTATAACTGTTTAATAATTAAATATTAAAAATTAAGTTAAATTAACATCTTTATATGTTAAAGAACTTAAATGTGTTATACAAAAATATTAAGAATTCAGTAGGTACCTAATACAATTTTCAGCAGACATAAAATTTCATTAACCCATATATGAGGGGTATAGTTTCAAAGTGTACAATCTCCACATATCAGAAAAAATGAGTTAGATGTCGCATTACGGTGAGTTTCTAGTCCTGAATCGGAACTAAAAAAACACTTCAAAATAGTCATTCTCTAATAAATTTTGAGGGCAGAAAATTAGACTTTACTCAAAACGTACAATCTCCAATGACATGTAATTTTCAAACCGTACAATCTCCTATCCAATATTTAAAATCAAAGAGTACAATCTCCAATGGGTTTTTCTTGTTTATAATGGCGAATATTTCAAAGCGTGCAATATCCTGTCCGAACTTGTCAACAAATCTCGCGCTAAAAACGTTGTGTTTTTACATTATATATATATATATATATATATATATTATATATATATAATATATATATATATATATATTATATATATATATATATATATATATATATATATATATATATATATATGTATATATATATTATATATAATATATATATATGTATATATATATTATATATATATATATATATATATATATATATATATATATATATATATATATATATATATATATATATATATAATGTAAAAACACAACGTTTTTAGCGCGAGATTTGAATTTGAAAACTATCTTTGAATAATTAAGTGTGTATTATCTCAATAAAATAAATACGTTTAATAAATGATGTTAGTAAGTTATTTTCAATGTGGACAAACTCCGTTAGTTATTTTTACAATGTACAATGTCCAAATATTTTTCTAGAATTACTTAGTTATTTTTGAATGATTTAAAGAAAAAAATTGTATATTAACTCGTATTGGTCATATAAATGTAATAGAAAAGAAAAATTAATTTAATTGTTCATATAAAATAGGTTATCCGTTTTTTTCGAATACTGAAAATTTAGGAAACATGGAGATTGTACACTTTGAAAATATACCCCTCATATAGTCAATATGCGCGAAAAGAAGTGGTCACTTCTGTCGGCACCCAAATGTCCCACGCCTCGTTTTGTTTATTTAATTCTATTTCGATCTAATGCAAAAATCTAGTATTACTACGAACTAATTTTAAATAACAAAATTTAATCTTATATTTTGATTTTAGAAATGGGACCAAAATCGATCTTACAGAAACTGTAGAGATGGACGACGACAATGACGGATATTACAACATAACGGCAACTCACAATTTTGCATCCTACAACCATACTTTAAAAGGTCCCACTAAATTCCTTTGTAATGTTAGCATTCCAGGCACTTCGTACTTCTTGACAAAGGAAATAATTCATGTGGGAAGTAAGTATCTTATATTGTCTTTTTATTTGTGTAAATTTTAATATTATTTGTCAATGTTTGACCAGAAAGTAGTATGGTTATAATGATAAAACAAATACAAATTGACAGATTACAACAGTCACAGACACAATTGATTACAGCCAGTTATATTTTATAGCCTCAATCAGTGTCACACGCACTGCAATAGGCAAAAATAGTTTAAAAATATTAAAGTAACTTTTAGCTTAAAACGTGTACCATGTTCCTAGAGAAGGTCGGCGACTACAATGCTTGTAACGTTCTTGCAAGTTCTGTCTACTATTGCAAGTTTCCCAACAGGAGAATTTATTCCGCCCTATCCATTTTTTTCCTTCAATTTTACTGTTAAAAACTAGCCGAAGGAACTCATATGTTGGTTTTCTGATTTCTGATATATGTTAAAGATATTTTAGTTTACGTCTCTTAATGATACTTAATAGTCATTGATGTAATATCCTTCGAAGAACTTCTGGTTTCTGGTGCTGCTGGTCTATAGGATTCTTCGATACAACCACATTTCAAATGCCTAGATTTAATTCTTGGTACTGATGTTCACATGGGAATATCTGATCAAATATTCCCGTGTGCTTGAAATGGAGGGTCTTTGATCAATGTGTACTGCCAGTTCTAACATATGGAGCAGAAAGATCGACCCTTACCAAAAAAGTAATTAATAACATAGAATAATACAGAGAGCAATGGAGGAGTCAATGTTAAATATATCCCTCAGAGACTGAGTTTCAAATCATATAGTTATGAAGAAAACTGGTGTTACAGATGCAGAACAGAATTAAAACGATGAAAATATTGCCAGAGATGAAAAATGGACCAAGAAAATAATAGAATGGAAACCTTATCGTAATCAAGGACGTCCTCCAAGATGGTCTGATTACATCAAGCGCATTTAGCACAAGTGGATTTAGGGTGCACAAGATCGAAGGCAATTGAATTATAATTATTTACGGGAGGCCTATGTTCAGCAGTGGACTCAAAACGATTAATGACGATGATGACTGCTAGCCGATGTTTAAAGTCCTTCTTCTCCTAGAAAAAAGTGCTTATCTAGTTCTAAAGTATCTCCCGAACCCAAACTGTCCTTGACCAATTATTGCTTTACATTTATTGTTAGTTCTGTTTAAAAGGATACGCAACAGTATTTTAATGGCATGGTTCATCAGACTAATGAGTCTACAATCGCTACATTTCTTAACGTTTAGTTTAAGGAGAGTAATAAAGATCGATTTTAACCATGATAGATTAAATTTTGATGGATTTCACTGTTATCATATATTTGACTGAATAGTACAGTCAGTTCGTTTATAATGCCATTTAAGAGTAATTTTAGCCATTTATTGTATATTTGATCTGGTTCCCCTGCTTTATCGTTTTCGGCCTATGGATTTTTTCGCTTCCACCTTTTAATATTCTTCTTCTTTTTCCATTTCCATCGGGTCATCTTCTATCCATCGGGTCATCTTCATCTAATCCTTTTTATTTGAAGTCCTCTAACACACAGACCTATCATCTTCTCCTCGGTTTTCCTCTCCTCTCCTTCCTTTAACTTTTAAAAGCTCTATCCTTTATCACACATACTTTTTATTTCTACGTTTGACAAGACCGTACCACTGCAGTCTTTGTTCTTGAATATTGTCCTGTATGTTCCTGATCATTTCCCTTCTAGTCTTACCCATCATCCCCTGTAACATTTTCATTTCAGCTACTCCATCTTCTTTTTCAGCATCTTAATTATAGATCGCAGCGTCTTATTTATAACGCAGATCTCACCACACTCTTATATACCTTTCTTTTCAGCCCTTTCCCGATTTTTTGATCACAGAGTACCTCGCTTATTCGCTTCCAGTTAAACAAACTAGCCTGTACTCTGTGGTCAATTTGTCGATCTAGTGTCCAATTTTCCGTTATGTAAAAGACAAGATATTTAAATTCTCCTACTTTTCTTAGATTTTCACCAAACAATGTCCCCAACCATTCATCTTTCTTCTAACCACATATACTCCGTTTAAGACCTGCTAACTTAAAGTCCCCCCTCTTCAATAGCCCTCCTCACTACTACTACACTTACCCAATCACACTATTTCCTTCATCATTTCTTATTATTATCCCGAAATCTTCATAAAATGGAAAGTAGAATTTAATAATGAAAATGTCTTTTGTGTATGCGAAGACGCATAGGTTTTTGAGACTGAGGTAACCATCTAAAAGTAAAAGTTTCTGCAGGTTTGACTTATTGAAACTCTTGGCGTCACCACTTTCTTTACAGGTAGGGCAGGAACTCCTGTTATCTGTACTATATACATTAAACAGTATATAGTTCCACTTTCGAGGTTTAACATAGAACTATTCGGTAGTTTTGTGACGCCTTGGTGGTAACACTCTTAATATTCTTATATACGCGTTCCAAGTCAGTTCAAAATCCAATTGGAACAATATTATTCAGCTAATAATAGTTTCTTTTGAATTAATCAATAGCTATGTACAAAAAAAAATTTGTGTGCAGAATTTATATTTTTATTTATATTTCTGTTTTGCCGTTACTCAAGCCAATTTTAACATTTTATTGCTAACATTCTTTTTTAACTGTGTTTTTGCTTTGCGTATTTTTGTAACTTTCAATTTACTTTTTTGCTCAATTATTTGGTTATAATCAATTAAGTGTTATATGATTTTCTCTGCACTTTTTAAAAATAATTTATGTTTTATTCATTTTAATACCACTAGGTTTTATGTACTTGATTTTAGTTTAACAGCTTTCCACTGTGAAAGAGTATTCAAAATAAATACAAATTAGTAAATCTGTCACACTTTACTAGGGGTCCAAGCTTTAACTATTGTAAACAAACTTCTAACTTTAATTTAAATATTGTTATTATTCTATAGGCACTCACAGACTACCCACAACTTAACATTATTTATTTATAAAGAAACATAACTCCAAGAATTTACTGCTGTTTCTTATTCTGAAAATTGTATGTATATATACATAGTATGTATGTATACAGTATAGGAAAAAGTTTATGGTCGGTATGGACCTTACATGAGATAGAGTGAGAAACAACTGTTTAAAAAGAGAGAGATATATTAGGTGTCCGCCTTTTATATCACCGAACATAAATGAGTGGATATGGAGTGGATATAATAAAAAGGGGAAATTCAACGTTGCCAAACTTATTGGTTTTATTTGACCTGTTGTCTTTTTCGCATTTGAACAATGCTCCAAGATAATGAAATTTGGGCGAAATGGATTTAAATGGCAGCTTATTGTTTTTTATTGGGAATATGCCACAATTTTACTTTACAATAAGTGTAATATAACATTTTGATTTATACTTCGGAAATCGTTTTATATAAATAAAATTTATTAATGTTTGGTATTTTAAAAACGATTTCCGAATTAAAAATCTAAACATCAAAATAACCGAATCAAAGCGTACACAGGTATTTACGAATAGAGGTGGGTCATTGACGTCGCAGAACCGATTTTCGTAAACAAGTAACTATGATTTTTTAATAGTAGTTTCAAGTAAGAAACTACCTACATAAACAAACATAATGGCTATTATCGTTTATGTGTATATTTATTGAACTGAAGGAAACTAATAAAAGATTTTATTATAACTTGAAAAATAAACTAAACAATACAAATAGTAAATCGTACCTACGTTTACATTACACGTTATTATTAAATCAAGAATCGTCTAAATTGACATTTAAAAACATAAGTTTTTTACTTTACTTCTTATTAACCGTGATTTTCTTTTATTTAAAATTAAACCTGATTTTGAACATGTGTTCACATTTACAATACTTTATGAATATAGTGGTTAAGTTAGGAGATACATGGCGATGGTTTTTCCACCATTGTACTGGACTCTCGCTACAGGTGTACGTTCAGATGAGTCATGTCCAATTAATTGATGAAAAATACACCATGGACTTAAGTCATCTTTATCGGTTTCTTTTTCTTATACTGGTTGAGTTTCAATAGTACAATCTTCTTGTTCTTTAATTATGGAAGTAACCAGCTTCTTAACTCTTTCTTTTGTTTTTTTAGCGTCATTTTTATCAGAAAATCCCTGCACTTTAAATCGTGAATCCATAAACGTACATAATGACAATATGCCACTGTATTCTATCCCTCTAAATATTTTTGCTAAACCCGAGATTAGTAATTATCCCGTAATTAGTAATAAAAACCCGTACTACGTCGGATACTATGGATGTAAGGTTACTGTTTGCTAAAATTTTATTGCAAGATTTTTGCAGGCAGCGTACCAGAACAATCACTGAACTATCATTCAAGTATTTTTGGCCACTCATTGTACTTGTTATTTCTTTAAAAGGCCGTAAAATTTGGGACAATTACGAAAAAATAATCCAGTCTTCATTATTTAGATTTGGTCTAAGTCTAAGTCTGTATTAGCTGATACCAATGTGGAACGGATTGCCTCTTCTAACTCCGTCATTCTTTCTAACATGTAATAAGTGAAGTTCTACCTAGTTTCCACGTCTTGGATTGGCCGTTTGGGATCTTTGTTATGTTGTAATTGATACTTTAAAAGCGTTTCTGAAGATAAGGTACTTTTTTGAAATGTGTTTTTTGCCGAATTGTCGAAAAAAAAAGACTTTTTATTTTATCTATTCGTATACGACAGCATTTAAGTGCGTCCTCCATCAATAAATTTAACGTATGAGCAAAACAATTTAAATGTTTTCATTCCAAAACATATTTAATAGCTATGACCATATTTGAGGCATTATCAGTTACTGCAAAATTTACTTTTTCTTTTAGCCCCCACTGAATAATAATTTCACTAATTTTAAAAGCGATGTTTTCTGAATTATAGTTTCCAGAAAAATGGCAGCAGCCTAATAAAACCGTGTTAAACTCTAAATTTTCGGTTAAATTCGTTAAAATCAACTAGTTGATGGTTGAAGCTGGTTACTTCTATAAAAAAAAAAGA